CCCACTGGCGCAGGGTAGCAGGAAGCTCTCCACACACTCACCGGACCTGGGCTAGGACTGGGTCTGGGGGTTCCCGGAAGTTGGCAGAAATTCCTACTCGGCAGGAGGGGTGGGGAGGTATGGCGGAGTGGTGGGGGGTGGCCCGAGGGGGTGGGAGAGGGTCCGGCCCATTCTGCGCCTGGGCTGGTACTCTCCCCCTTCTTTCTTTTCTCCTCTCCCTCTTCCCAGTTGTTCTTTCCTTTTCAGCAGTTTCTTTCCCTTTCACAATATCTGCTGAACTTTTCAGAGTGTGTTTACTCTGTTTCTTGCAGTAGGGAGACAATACAATGTTTACACAGGTCTGTTTTATTTCACTTATGAGGAGGGTCTGTATTTGCATCTATTTACCTATAAAAGCCTCGAGTTTATCTTCCTTTATAGCTAAGCAATACTCCATTGTATACAATATGATATCGTCTTTATCCATTCCTCAGGTGATGGGCATTTGGATTTTTTACAAGATTTAGTTATTACAAATTGCACTGCTTTAAACAAGCATGCACATACATGCTGTGGTTTACAGTGAACCTAATAGCTGTTTGAAGCTATGGAAACTTTGAAAAGGGGACTGACTGAAACTGTTTAATATGCCTACTCCATGTTATGGTTTGTGTCAAATTTACCCTCAGAGCCTCATGATGCTGGGATTTAAGGTGTGTGATAACTAAATCAGTACACTGATTGGTTTGGCATTGCCCTAGATACAATGTAAGTGACAGAAAGAGGCATGTCTTCTCCCTTTGCTTCTTGCTTTTCCTATTTTCTGCTTGCCATAAACTGCTTTTCTTTTTTTCCCCCATAATTTTATTGAGAAACAAATAGCAATGAGACAGTTTCAAATCAAATTGGTAGGATAGTTTCAATAATTAACATATTGTATACTCTCTTGCTAGTGGTTATTTGCTGCACAAGATGCAGAAATGATATCCTATTTACAAATACTGTTAGAACAAATCCCTCTATTCATTAAGAGAATGTAACTATTTATCTATCCTAACCATTTTGAAACTGTTTTTCTATGTGACACCCTTCTGTTAAGCCACCCTGCCTTGGAGCCTTAGACTGAAACCTCTACACTGTGACCTAAATAAACCCTTCTCCTTTTAAGTTTACATGTTGGGTATTTTGTCTCAGCAATGAGAAAAGTAACTAAGATTCTCCATTTCTGACTCCTGACCAAGGGACAGAGTCTGGAAAGCTGCATTTCGCCTATCAGATGCATGCACAACCTTAGTCCGTGGCAGGTGTCTGAGTTTCTAAATCCAAGTTCCCATGCCAATTAAGAACTTCTAGCTGCCTAATAACTGACCAAAAGGCAAATTGTGAACATGTTCCCAAGAGCTGCCAAAGGCTTTTGGCACATGATCAATGAAGCACACAATGAGCAAGTGTTCAGCAATTACTCAGGTGACAGAGAACAACTGGCCTGTTAGGAGACTATAGATTGATCCTGATCAAGTCTCGAACAAGGAAGAGGAAACCTTATTCAAGCTAGGCATCCTAGGAGAATTCTGTTCTAGGTTTCCCAGTATAAAGTTACTCTTACCCAGAAAAGTTGGAAGTAATCTGAAGTTTATCATGCCTCCATGGAAATGTGTCAGAATTTCCTGGAAGGTGCTAACAATATGAAATGTATATACCACACATAAAGGGCTCTTGTTTTTCTACTCTGTAGTCTCACCTGTTATTCTGCCAGTTTAATAGGCAAAGGAAATTTCAATCTATCTTCTAAATGGTGAGAATTAAATAAGATAATAAAAGAGCCTTGTACACAAGAAATATTCAACATATATTAACATCTCTCATTTATACTCTGATGATCACAGGCAACTGAATAATAAGCATATCACTAAAAACACTTTCCAAAATACATTATATAACATAGTTAATCATATCCATGCACCCATTACCCTCCTTCACATATTCTCCCCCTTATTCCCTTTCTCTTGTCCAGTAATAGTATCACTTTTATTTTTGTATTTTCTTTAGAACAACACCTCTAATGTTCTAGCATATCATAATAAAAATTCTATCTGGTTTGCTTTGTGTGTACTAGTGTATGATCAATGGAATTCAAACTTGTCATGTAAAATACTCTCCTTTCTTCTAAAATTCCCACTGAGGTTAAAGCAATCATTTTATACAACTAAGAACTAGAGTTAGAAATTTTATTAACATAGTTGATAACATCAATTCTAAAGGTTATAAAGGCAAACAGGAATCTCTAAGCCTGTCATTTATACTGCAAGTCATTCAGGACAGGGCCTGCTGTTTTTAATACTCATTTTTCTTTATGAAACTAACTAAAAGGCTGACCCAGTAAGTCAGCGGATTAAAGCACCTGCTTAGGCAGATGCAGGGACCAGGGATCAATCCCCAGCATGCCCCAGTGCTGCCCCTGGGGGCACACAGTGGGCAACTAAGACTGGGTGTGGTGGCACATGTGCTTGGGAGGCTGAAACCAGGAATATCACTAGGAGTCCAATCTGTGTAGTGAGACCCTGTAGACTCTGTACCAAATACATTTTTTAAAAAAACTAATTAAAGTCATTAAAGATAGCAACAGACACAGGAATCCATGCATAAAATCAGGAGGCCATTTTTTAGTAATGAAGAGTTATATAGTAGTTTTAGGAAACTATAGAGTTCTCTTATTTGGGGTCTTCTAGTATTGACAAAAGTTTAAAACAGTTATTGTGTTAAGAGTTCATTTTGGAAACAGAATTTCTATTATCTGACAGCAATCAATTCTGTATTATTTCAGCTCAGTTACTGAAAGGCTTTGTAAAAGTTATGTTCATCTTTATTCATACTGATTAACAATAGGTCAGCTGTGTCTAGCACTGGACCTAGAAGCTCAAATAGGTGTGGCTGAACAAAACTCTACTAACAAGGTCTCAATTCCACACCACTGAGTCACATTACTGGCCTTTTTGTCTCTAAACAGTACACTAACAAAAAGAAAAATAATCAGACACTGAGATCCATTTAAAGGGCCTGCATGCATTAACTGACAGTGCTAAACAATCAAAGAAAGCACAAGTACATTAAAGGAATTTAATAGAAAGCCTGTAACAAGGACAAGATGTTTACAGACAAGATAATATTCCTAAGAAATGAAAAATGAAACCTATTATGTATTTCCCTGTGTATCTATCTCATGAAGTCTGAATTTTTAAGGGAATTAATAATTTATATTTAACTCAAATCATTACAGAAAAGCTACTTCTAAACTATAATTCTCAAACTTTGACATTTTGTTTTAAATAAATGTACTTTAAAATAATTTTACATTTATAAAGTTATACAGTTTCTGCATACACATCACTCCATATCCCCTATAATTAACATATTATATAATCATGATACATTTAGCAACGTGAAGAAATTAAAATTGATATATTATTAAGAACTAAATTATAAACTTGTTTTTATATCAGTAACTTTTCAGTTTTTAGGTACAATCAGAGTACTACATCTCATTCAACAATTTTTTAAAAAATGCTGTTATGTCCTGGTATATGCCACAATTGTCTTATTAATACTACCCTTATTATAGTTATTTCAGGAAAGAAACCTAAAATTTCCTGGAAAATACAATTATTGAGTATCAGAAAAAAAAGTACATGAAAATTCATGTAAACATGATGCTTCTACCAATATTTTATTTAACACAAAAGAAGTAAATAACTGAAGATGTGCCTATTTTGCTAAGAATGAGAAATCAAATTACTCAATTTACCAAAAATATTACTTTAAAAATGTTTGTTACTTACTTATTTCCCAAAGTTCTCATAGTCATAAGATAAATAGAACTCTTCAATTAATTCTGTAAAAGAATATGAAGTATTATAATCACACTCAGATAATCTACTTTTATCATATGTATATATAAACAAATTTCATTTTAAAAATACTATGTATTTGTATTCATATAACAAAAGAACTAATTTAAGAGAAAATAATTACATAATTTATTGCTGTTATTATCTTTAAAAGTGAAAGCATGCAAAATTTAATCAAAAGTTTTAAGATGATTAAGAGAATGTTCTCAAAATGAAGAAATGCTACCATGAACAAAATTGGCTAAGAAGTATGCTTTACATTCATTTTGTGTGCACAACGCTGTGGAAATCACTAAATAGTAATATAGTAATAAACAAGTGAATCATTTTAAAGTCATAGCCTTTTTGATGGGAAAAACAGTTTAGTATCATAAAATTTTTGAAAGGACATTATGTTTGTTTAAGTGACCATGTATATCAGTTTCCCAGAGACAGGCTCAACTCATACCACTGTTACAGTGTTCTACCCAATTTCCAATTTGTCTCAGACTTTTCATTTTTTAATGGGTTTTTGTGGCAGCATTAAAAAAGTGAGGCTTACTTATAATTCAATTTCAGATCTGCCATGATCTCATAGACCCATGTATGAGTTACATAGGCAGCGAAGCCAGATATCCATCTACTGAGTAGTGAAATCTGAATGACACTTAAGCATACTGTAACGTAAACATCACATCCAAGATAGTACACAGCTCATCTACAGAAAAAGGGAGCAGAAAAATTATCCACCATGTGTGACTAGCTCAAAGACACAAATTCAATGAAAGCAGATAAAAAAGGTGTTTTGCTTACTATGGTATTGAGGACTGACTTCTGGAATTTCACACTGAGCTATACCCCCAGCTAAATTACTCAATCTGGGCTCCAACTTGCAACCCTCCTGTTGCAGTCTCCCAGAGAGATGTTTTACATATTATCCTCTAAAGTAGGATTTTTTTTATCTACATCAAATCACTTTAAAAAAAAAAACGAGTTCTGATTCAAAACTGTTATTATTTAGCTACTCAAAGTAAAATAATAACTGCTATTTTGATGGCTCCATAAGCAGAAATTCAGTCCAATGATACTGGTTCTCTATTACTGTTGGGAAATGTGGTAAATAGAAAAATCAGTTAATTCCAATAATGGTTTGATTGTTTCCAAAGTAAAGCTTTTGGAAGTTCATTCTGTAGAACCTGAAACATCTAATGTTTCTATAATTGCTACTTAAATTCATTTTAAACATTCAACAACACAGATAAATTTAGAGTTAGTTCTCATTATTCAAAATTAGTTAAGCTTTGTAAAGTCACCATAAACACTAAATTAGTGAATACCCAACAATTGCTCCTACAGGGTGAGTTCCTATAGGACTCAGTTACATTTTCATCAATAGATAAAAACATATCCTGTTTTATATATACTCTGTTTAGAACATGTTTGGGTTTTTTTCCCCTATTTTTTCAAATTTTCCTTATTTTTATTTTTTATTTTATTGTCTTCTTCTATTTTTTAAAAGTCCCATTAATATAGGAAATAATAAAGAGTAAAGAACAAAGAAATGAAATAGAGACTACAATGAGAAAAATAAAAAACAAAATACCCACAAGAATTAGGTAATCAGGTGGCCACTGATGATATTAGAAAAGGAGGTTTACTATTGGGAAGAAAAAAATGGAGTTTGTTATAAAATAGCAAGAAGAAAGATTAGAAATAAAGGCAGGAAGAAATGATTACCAGAAGAGGATTCTTCAAGAAGTCAAAGGTATTAAGAGTCCATGCTAAAAAGCAGCCTTGAAAGGTTATCAAGATAACAGAACCCTAACTTTGTTCACAAGGTGATGAGTGGAAGGCTATGAGACTTCTAAACTTCTAGGCCCTCAGAAATGAGTATGAGGTGCAATTGTGGCTAGTGACATCAAGTCTTCCCAAATTCTTCTAAAAATGTTATTCTTGCTATTGTTTTGTTTTGTTGTTTATTTTTTGAGAAAGGGTTTCACTATGCTGGCCTTGAACTCACTTGATACCCCAGAATAGACTTGAACTCACTGACATTCTCAGCCTCCCAAGTGCTGAGAGTACAGGCGTATCCCACCACACCCGGAATCCTCACTCTTAATACATGAGAGTCACCTTTTCTCTTAAAATCTTGAGTTCTTTGATACTAAGATGAAATTCTTAGAGCAAAAGCTGCCATCTTGAGAAAAAGAAGGTAAAAGTCTGAAGACAGAATACAGGGCTGCAAAACGTAAAGACAGAAAAGAATCAGGGTCTGACAACAATTAGGCTGCAACATGAATCATCTATAAAATCAGATCTACATGGTCATATGAGAAAATAAAATGTACAGTACTTACTACTGAAGCCATTTTCAGTCAGGGGCTTTCATTATTTGCCAAGTGAAAGCATTCTAACAGACACAAAAAGAAGGATAATTTTTCTGAGATGGCTTTGGATAAAACTAACTTTGCATATTGTACACATAGAAATTTGGGTTTCAGCCTGAAGGAAAGTCTGTGGAAAATTTGCTTTATAAAGGGACTGGCCCTAACAATTCAATCCTGCTTTGAAAAACTGAGTATTTCTAATGCTGACAATAGCTAATGATGATAAGCTCATAGTCACTAAAGTATTTTTAAAAGCTAAGCATTTTATCTCCTTATTGCTTACTTTTTGTATTCCAGTTGACTTCAATCAAGAATCCATACCATCTTTTATTTTCTGTTTTTAACAATTTTCAAGTCAGTTTCCTTTTTTATACTTTCATGGTATATATAATACATAACACAATATAGTTTATGGGGGAATTCTTTACTTTTAAAAACACTTTGAAAATCTAACAATCTATAAAAATATTTATTTATATCCATAGATTTCCTAAATCTGGTCAAAGAAACAAAAATTTCAACCACATTTTTGGAATGATACCTTTGGCTTTTATCAGAGAATGGAAAAAGCAACACTGTAGCTACACATTTCAAAACACTGGAAAACGCACAATTGTCTGCCTATACAAGCAGTCCCTAAATGGTAAAAATTGAAGGTTTAAATTACAAGACAGCTTGAAGGCCAAAACATTGTTCCTATAGAAACAATGCACTGCTATGCCAGTCCATTAAAGCCTTGTAAAATTATATGCATAGGACTGTTTTTCAAACTGTATCAGGGTAGAATACTGGGTTTCCTTTGGAGAATCATCACTGTCTCGCTCATCAGTGAGTCCCAAGGACTCTGTTCACTTCTCTGAGTCTATTTCTCATCAGTCTCTAGACTATTCTTCCATGTGTCGGTCCCACTGAACTCCAACCTGTAGGGTCTTTCCATGACCCTCCAAGACACTTGTCAGGCTCTCACATTCTTCCTGTCATAGTTTACTGCCCCAGCCTTCTGATTTCACCAGAAGTTACCTTCCTGGAAGGCCACCCCATGACTCTACACAGAGTACCCTCAGAGCAACTACACTTCCTTATCATAGCATTTATCATAATGTATTTTAATCATTTTTGTCAATCTTCCCTTATAAGCTCCACTATGTCAAGGATTTATTTTATTTGCTATTATTTTAACCCAGATTTTCAAAAGTGTGCCTGACAATTTTAAAGATGCTTTAAATACATTTACTTCTGAGAACATATATATTAAAAGATATGTCAATGGGTTCTCAGCCTGATCGATGGAATATTTAACCTCATCTAATGATCTTACCAAGAAAGACAAATTTTCCAAAGGCTTGTCAACTCCACATTCAGAGATTATTAATCTCCAGAAATAAAGCTTATTCATAAGAAGGCTAATTTCTTCCCCATTGTTGCTTTATAGTCACTTAAGTGAAATATTAAAATTATAGCAAATAAGAATTAATATATATTCTAATATTACCTTTATCTTTTTCTTCCAGATGCCATTTATTCTACTGGGTTTTACCACAGCAATGGTATACTGATACCAAATTTAGACCTCTAGGCCTGATTTTATCTTGAGCTAATTAGTAGACAAATTTATACCTGGCAATAATTTTTTACCAACTGAGTTACATGATGTTCCAGTATAGGTTCTCCTATGTCCTGAGTCTTCACTGACCTTGAAAGGCTAGAGCCAAAATGTTGGCTGTCCTTGCAGCCCTTCTTTTTCTCTGATTTTTGTTCTACAAACTTAGGTTGTTAACCCTCCAGAAGAGAACCTTATTGTTATTATCCTACAACACAGGCAGTTGAGTTTAATCTCACTATCTGTCTGAATATCAAACATCCTAGGCAAAACATGGAACAGGTATTTTCCATCAAGTATTGATACATTAACAACTTTTAAGTCCTCACAGAATTTGAAGAAAAAAATTAAAAATATAAAAAACTATTTTTTTAAAAAATAGGAATTAAGAATTATGTATTTTTACACAGAAGTTTAGAAATCTAATCCTA